CCCTTGTCCTCATCCCCACCACCAGAACCGCCCCCTCACCTTTCCAACCACCACTGTCCACCCCACCCCCATCCTTAGCCTCACTGCCCCTTCCTCGAAACCCACCTTAACAACCCCTCTTCCCAGAACCAAGCCCTGAAACCGCCTGCCGTTCCCCCTTTGAAAGCCCTTCCTTGAAACCCACCTTGAAAATCCCCCTTTCCAAAACCCAGCCCTGAAATGGCCCTATAAATCCCCTTCTCAAAACTAGCCCCGAAACCAATTCTGGAAACCCTACCCTTCCCGAAACCGCCCAGAAACCCCTCCTTCCCAAAACCAGCCTAAAAACATAACCTGAAAAACCCCCCATTTCCCGAAACCCATCCCTGAAACCGCCCTGAAACCTACCCCTCTACGAGCCCATAAACCCTACTCACCCTCCACCACTATCAAGAACCCATCAATTTAGGGGCCGGGTTCGGTTCGGCGTAGGGGTGCGGTCAGGTGAGAGAGGGTGGGATTTCGGGTTAGGGATGAGGGTGGCGTGGGGTGGGGTTCAATTAAGGGGGTTTTGGGTATTGGGGGTGGTGGTCAATGGTGGGGCAGTGGTTGTGGGGGTGGGGGTCAGTTTAGTTTAGGGGTGGCGGTGGGGTTTGGTGGTGATGTTGTGGTTATGGAGAATGATGGTGGTAAGGTGGGAAAAGAGAGATTAAAGAAAATAATAATAATAATAATAATAATAATAATAATAATAATAATAATAATATTAATTTTAAAAAGTTATAAACATTAAAAAAAATTAAAATTATATTTTCAGACCAATAAACTGATGACACGTGTCCATATAACCCATTAATCAGGTTACCAACAGGTTACAACTTGTTTAAAGCGGACAACCTCCAAAAGTGGTATTATTTAGAGATAATCAAAAGGTCGACTTGTTTTTAGCGGACGGGTGAAAGGTGGTATTATTTAAAGCAATTTTTCCAAATAAAAATGGATAGGAAATAAGATAAAATAAATGAGATGATAAAATTAAAAAAAAAGGAAACAAAATCTAATAAAATTGACTAGAGTGGGACTCTAAACGGTGGAAAAAAGATAATAGAAAGAGAGGAATATAGAATGAAGGACTCTTACGATATCACAATTAGAATAGGAGTAGAATTCAAAAAAAAAAAAAAAAAAATCTTTTGAGGGTTTGACATGGAATAGATTTCTAAGGGAATTAAGACTCATGAGATAAAAATAAGATAATAAATGTAAAATCCTATCTTATAAGAGTTTGACATAACTTAGAATTCTAAATGGAGTAGAAGATTGGTTATGACTCAAATATAGACAAGATTGACACAAAAAGATAAAAAAGTTATCCTCCAACACTAAATATAGAATTCCTAAACTGGACGGGCTGTAGTATTTCGATCATACCTTTTGATCTGTGACTCCAATTGGGACAAAACCAACGCCAAATGATAGATAAAATCCGGGGATATAGATACATAGATGGCACAACATGTAACTCTCTCTAGAATTCCGGCTATGACCAAAACAAAGTGACGCTTGTACAGTATACGGGAATAAAAAAATCCGGATCAACTCAAAATAAAAAATAAATAAAAAAGAACTATGACTCAACTTAATAAAAAAGGAGAGGGTTAAATAAGAGAAACAAGTCCTGATTAGTATGTTTAGACATATTATAAGAAACAAGTCAACTCAAAGGGTTAGTTTAATCACAAGTAAGGATGCACAAGTAATCAAGTAGTCACAACATGATGCAATGAGTTTGCAACCTAACCATGGCTCTAGTTCTCTAAGGTCAAGGATTATGGTATCCAAAAGGGTCCATGGTTATGAGTCCGGATACATCGCGCGGAAACCTTACCTTAGGGTTGGCACAATGGATGGGACCCCGTAAGTTAAACTTGCTTCCATGGTTTGGTGAATTCACAAACTCGGATGCAGCCATTGTTACACGGAGCGTTCATTAGGGTCGATGAAGCGTGATTCCTAGGGGCTAGGACCATACATAGAACACATATAGGTTCAGAAAAGTCGAAAAAACTCAATCAGGAAGTAACATCCTCAAAACGGTGCTAGAATTGGTCAAAACACAAAAGCAGAAAACTGGCGCAATGTCGCGATAATTTGCGCGAGAAAACAGAGACTGTCGCGCAGCAACAACTCTATAGCGCTGCGATGAAGGTGTCATTTGGCGACAATTCCAGCTCGTCGCGGAAATTCTGGAATTCGACTTTTTTCCGGTTTTTCACAGTTGTCAAAGACATTTCCAGCTTTTCCTACGTGTAAAAATCCTATGTTTTTGATGCATTACGGATGGTCGTGCCACAATGTTAATCAAAATTACGAACAAGAATATCTAGAGTCTTTCAAGTCTCGTCCACTCATTCTAAATCAATTGCTAAAACAAATTTTAGGAATCAAAATTAGAAATCCTCCCTAGTGGAGTCACCAAATAACTGTAGGGAATTTTTCAAACTCAACTTTGAGCCCCATTGTGATCATGCCTTTAAGCATGGTGGCGTCCAAAAAGAAGGAAGCTAGAGATAAAAAAGTCGCCAACAAGTTTTAGAAACTTATAAACCGTTCACGGGTATAAAGGTTACACCCCATTCACGATCACGGGGATCGCTAACTGCATAGTGGTCTGGAACCATGACTGGATATTCGGGTATTATGGTACAAATCCAACCTAAAAGAGATTGAACCCGCCCAAAATCGGCCTCTACTTAATTCTTATGATATTCATGTGCGCTTTCTGATCAACATACATACATCAAATTAATTCTAAGTATATTTAATCCACGTTCGTTGATTATTAATGCACAATCAAATCTATTATTAGCGATCATTTGAATTAAAATCATATTAAGCCTAAATAAAATTATTAATTATCTTATTAGGCGTGATTTCAAGTATAAATTCCATTTAAACCTGCAAAAAAGGGCGTGATCAAGCAATAAAAATAAATCATGAATAATCAAGCAATGTATAATTGACACAACAATCATCATCATAATAATAATATCAAAACTTTATTAAAACATGATTAGCAAGATACTAGGCATGATACTAAACGGATTAATAACAAACCCTAGCATGTCACTAATAATAATGATCAAAGTTTTAGCCTACACATGATACTATCAATCTACATGACATTAGAAATATTAATTAACACCCTAAATATGACACTAGGAATCAAAATCAACATCCTAACATGATACTAGGAATTACTATAATATCCTAAGCATGATTTCTATCAATTAAGTAATCAAATTACTTACTTTGATGCCTCGTATCTCTTTCTATCAAAATAATACACACGTTAGTAAACTTCAAGAAAGATTAAATCAAATAAATCAAATAAGAATTGAAATATAGATTTGGGACCAAACCTTCAGAAATATCACCCTTTCACGTCAAGGTCGAAGGCAACTTCAAGATTGGCTAGGAGTATTCGAAGGTCGTGATGGAGGTATGGTGTTTGCTTGGGAAAAGTATTAAGGATGTATATTAGGACGTGTTTAGGCTAGGCTAAGAAAAGAATCAAGAGAGAGAGAGAAAGTATTGGAGAAGGGATTAGATGATGATTGTTGGTGATTGAAAACAGGGTGAAACGATCTATATTTGTAAGTAAAAAAAAAAGGGTCAGAGGATTAGAAAAGATGCAGTAATCAAATGAAAGTAAAACAGGTTCCATCGCAGTGCGACAGGTCCATCGCAGCGCGATGGGACTATCACGGTGCGATGATCATGCAATTTTGCGGTTTTTGTTTTTATCATAAATTTTGATCCAGAAGTTGGAATAAGATAAATAATATATCGTTGGAAATTTATATATGGAAGTCTAATTTACAACCCAATTGGAATCAAATTGATATCTTTTGTATAATAAAATATATAATCAAAATAGTGGAACAGTGTCAGTTTGGTATTTCAATCACATCTTTTTCGTTATAGCTCGAAATTGGGATTAAGATATATCATTGGAAAGATAATTTCAGTGCAATACAACCATCCAAGATTTGGATAAAAATTATGAGTCACGAAAATCAACGTCTTTAAATTCGAATGGAACAAGGATTTTCAAAAAGAGGAGTTTTATTCAATTTCAAACTCTTTGATCTTTATCTTTTGGAAAGGATAGATTAGAACCTTCTAGATACTTCTAGAAGTTCATAATGAATCCTAATTATTTTAGGATTAGGATTAAGGTATTTGGACCCTCACATTATCATTGGGTCGTAGGTAGGAAGGACCTAGGTCCGATTTGGGCTTGGTTTAATATTTTGGCCATAACTTCTTCGTTATAAGTCGGATTTTGGGCTTATAATATATTGTTGGAAAGCTATTTTTAAACTCCATCTAACTAAACAATAATTGGACAAGTATTATGGAACAAAATAGATTGTTTTGGACGTTTTATAAAGAGGATACAAAATGAATGATCTTGGTTTAAAACATTTAAGGAAGGGTTAGAAATGGTCAAGAATCTAAGACGTGAAAGGTACTCATCACTGGGTTTGGCTTTTGGGGAAACACAATCAGGTGTCTACAGTTTGCAATGCCAATCTATAAGCAACTTTACCTATTCTTTTCCACATATCGTATGGTCCAATGTACTTTGGGCTCAAATTCCTTTTCTTCCCAAATCTCATCGCTCCTTTCATTGTTGAAACCTTAAGCAAAACCTTATCACCCACTTGGAATTCCTCTTCTCTATGATTTAAATCTGCGTAACTCTTTTGTCTATCTTGAGTAGCTTGAATCTTAGCTTAGGTTTCTCTCACTTGTTTCGTGGTTTCTTCTTAATTGAGGACCTAGAACTATTCTCTCACTAATGTCACTCCAACATAGAGGAATTCTACACTTTCTTCCATACAAGGCCTCAAATGGTGCCATGCCAATGCTTGCATGGTAACTATTGTTGTAAGAGAATTTTACCAAGTCTAAGCTATCTTCTCATCCACCTTGGTAATTTAACACACATGATCTTAACATATCTTCCCAGGTTTGGATAGTTCTCTTAGATTGTCCTTCCGTGGGTTAAATGTTGTACTCATCTTCAATGTCGTACCAAAGGTCTCCTGAACACTTTTCCAGTTGTTCAAAAGAAACCTAGAATCCCCATCAGAAACGATATCCTTAGGAACTCCATGTAGCCTCACAACTTTTTTGATGTAAGCCTTTGCAAGTTGTTCATTTTTCAAGTCTCTTTCATTAGTATAAACACTTCCGATTTGGTAAGTCTATCCACCACAACCCAGATGGTATCATTCCCATTCTTAGACTTAGGTAAGCTAGTGATAAATTCCATCGAGACGCAATCCCACTTCCAAGCCGGGATCTCAAGTGGTTGCAATCCCAATTCTATCTAAACTTTCTGACAGGCTAGACATTTGGCTACAAACTCTGCCACTTCCTTCTTCATTTTAGGCCACCAATACACCTTTTTCAAATCTTTGTAAAGCTTATCTCCTCCTGGATGTTTTGAATAGGGTGTATTGTTCCCTTCTTCCATCAACTTCTTCTTCAACTCCTCACACTTTTTTGGTACACACCACCTCCCCTTGAATCGAATACTTCCATCATCATGGATTTTGAACTCAGTCGCCTTCCCTTGCTTGACCTTCTCCCTTATGCGATCTAATTTCATATCCCCTACTTGGTTATCCATAATCTCATCAAATATCGTTGGTTAGATACTCAAATTATTAAGCATTCCTTCCATCGTTCCATGTGGTACTACCTCGAGGTTTAACTTACTCATTTCTTTAAAAAGTTCGTCTGCCACTACCAAAGCGGTAATCCCATGAGCTGCTTTACGACTCAAAGTGTCCATGACTACATTAGCTTTTCCCTCGTGGTATTGGATATCTACGTCATAGTCATTGAAGAATTCTAACCACCTCCGTTGTCTCATGTTCAATGTTGATTGCGTGAAAAGGTACTTCAAACTTTTATGGTATGTGAATATCCTACATTTCACTTCATATAAATATTGTCTCCATATTTTCAATGTAAACACTATTGCTGCAAATTCTAGATCATGAGTAGGGTAGTTAACTTCATGTTTCTTCAACTATCTTGATGCATATGCAATCACCTTCCCATGTTGCATCAAAACACATCCAAATCCATTCTTAGATGCATCACTATACACATTTTAAGAACCACTCCTGTTTGGTAGAGTCAACAATGGTGTTGTTGTCAAACTCTTTTTCGAGGTTTGAAACGCTTCTTCACACTTATCACTCCAAATGAACTTAGATTCCTTCTTCTATAACGAAGTCATAGGTCTAGCTATCTTCGAAAAGTCCTTCACAAACCGCATATAATATCCTGCTAGGCTTAAGAAGCTTCGAATATCTGACACATTCTTAGGTGTAGGCCACCCCTTCACAACTTTAATATTTGCAGGATCTACTTCCAATCCTACCTTAGATATAAAATGTCCCAAAAATGCTACATTCTCCAACCAAAACTCACACTTCGAGAATTTGGCATAAAACTGGTTAGTCTTTAAAGTAGCTAATACTGATCGTAAATGCTTGCATGGTCCTCTTTATTCTTTGAATAAACCAAAAGATCATCAATAAACACTACCACGAATTGGCCTAGGAAAGGTTGAAACACTTTATTCATCAAGTCCATAAAAATTCCAGGTGCATTTGTCTACCAAAAAGGCATTACTGTAAACTCATAGTGCCCATATCTCGTTCTAAATGTGGTTTTCGGAATGTCCTTTTCCACAATTCGTAGTTTATGATATCTGGACCTCAAATCAATCTTAGAAAACACTTTTGCACCTTTCAACTGGTCAAACAAGTCATCGATCCTAGGTAAAGGGTATTTGTTCTTTATGGTTACCTTGTTCAACTCCCTGTAATTGATGCATAGCCTTATTCTACCATCTTTTTTTTTCACAAACAATACAAGAGCTACCCATGGTGATGCACTTGGTCTTATGTATCCCTTCTCCAACAAATCTTGTAACTGATTCTTTAATTCACTTATCTCAGCAGGTGCCATCCAGTATGGTGCCTTAGAGATAGGTGTTGTTCTAGGTACTAAGTCTATGATAAAGTCTATGGTTCTTTTTGGCGGCATAACTGGAATCTCTTCTGGAAACACATCTAAAAACTCCTTTACTACTTCAATATTCTTTAGTTTAGATGGTTCCTTATACTCCAAGTTTCTCACACTACAGAAATAGATTGGGTTTCCCTTCTTCATATACTTTGCCAACTTCATCACAGAAATGATCTTAGTATGCCTGGGTTTTCCATGCCTCCAATGGGTTACGTTCTCTCCCTGAACCGTTTTTAAGTGGATTTTCTGTGATTGACATCGTATCTCAGCATTATAGCGACATAACCATTCCATTCCCAGAGTTATATCAAGGACTCCTAGTTGAAATTCAATCAGGTTAGACACAAACTCCTTCCCTTTAATATCTATAGGTACATCCTTATAGACCCTAGTACAATGAACTACACCCCCAGTTGGAAGTTCTATAGGAAAATCTATGTTATCTACAGTTTTCAGACAATGCGATAGTTTTGGAAGCATAGCTTTAGAAATGAAAGAATATGTTGCACCAGAATCAAACAAAACTTTAACAGGAACTAAGTTCATAGAAAATGTACCAGTAATGACATCTCTCGTTGCGTTAGCCTCACGCGAACTCATCACATTAAGCTTTCTTAGTGTTCCACCCTTGACTTGTGTGTTACCACCATTGGTATTTATATTTCTATTGTAAAACTGTGCTCCTTTGTTCACTTGATTTCCATTGTTACCCTGACATCCTTTCTGTTGATTCCAGTTCTGTCCACTACCCTTAAATTGATTGTTTCCTTGACCCCCTTTATTCTTAGAATAACACTCTTATGCCCTGTGTCCTTGTTTGTTACACGGGTTATAAATGACTAACTTTCCATCACAGTCCTTCCCTGGGTGACTGTTGGAACATCTCTTACAATAGTATATCCTTTGGTTATGATCTCCAGGCTGGTTCCTATTTTCCCTAGGAAAATTGCACCCACCTTGGTTGTTTCTATTGTTCTGAAAGTTATAACCTTGGTGGTGATTAAACTTTTTCTTCTTGAAGTTATTTAGGTTCCCAGATGGTCCAGAACTAGTCATATGCTCTTTTCTTTTCTCCTTAGCATCCAACTCAGCCTTTTCAGCTTTTTCCTTCAACTCCAACGCATGTAAATGCGCTGCCCTACCATACAACTCATCCAAATTGTCAAACACTTGTCCTGACAACTTGCCTTGTAGAGAAAGAGGCAATCCCCTTTCAAACCTTCTAGCTTTCTACCTATAAGTAGCCACAGTAGTTTCAGCAAACCTATACAGCTCAATAAACTTAGTGTAATACTCAGTCACCGAAATACTTCCCATTTTAAGTTCTAGGAACTCATTAGCTTTCTGCTTTTGCAAGAACATTGGGTAGAACTTATCCCTCAATTGCTCCTTGAACACATTCCATCCAAAGTTAGGTAATGCTCTCACAGTTTGTTCATTCTACTGTCACCACAAATCTTCTTCACCCCTTAAGTAGTAAGTTGCACTACTCACTTTGGACTTATTGGGGCATGCTACTGCCACAAACAACTTGTCGAACTCCCTCAACCATTTCTCAAGGATAGTTGGGTCAGGTTCCCCCTAGTAGGTAGGAGGTTTGCTTTAGGCTATCTTCTTAAACAACTCCTCAGCAGGGTCAGGATTGTTATTGTTATTCCTTTTAGTTAACTTTTGATTTACAGTAGCTAGTTGCCTTACTACCTCATTCAGATCATTGTTAATGTTGTTTTTCCCTGCCATCCTAGTCCTCCCGAATAAAGAAATGAATACTTTTAGGTTGGTCACAACTCTCTTGTAACTAGACGACAACCATGCTACTTTAATCCAAGCATACAAGCAGTAATTTTGAATTATAGTTGTTTGGGGTAAAAAAATACCCCCTATGCCACGTGGCCCAATACCGCGCTGACATGTGGCAGCCCTTCAAAGGCCCAATGGGATCCAATCGGATGATGACACGTGGCATTGTAACCCTAATGGGGGAGCAGATCTTCATATGCTATAAATAGAGGAAATTCCTCATTTATTACATATACATAAATACATACACAAAAACAGAGCAATATTAATTGCGGAATCTCTCTGAATTAGGGAGAAAAACCCATTTACTTTCTGCACTTTTACCCATCCGGAATCATACTAACTTGATCGTTGGAGGCAGAACTCTCCCAACCGGAGTTTCGTGGTTTTGCAGGTACAGACGTCAGGCGCGCATTCTTAGAATTGTAACTCTCCCGAGGGATTCCAAAAAACCCCCGAAACATTTGGCGCCGTCTGTGGGGAGAGTACTTTTGAGATGACATCCGACACTTGTTGGGTTTCGTAGTGACCCTCACTACTCGGAAAGAAATCCGCTAAGACCCGCCCCCATAATAAATGCAATTAACAAGCAAAACAAAATTAAAACACAAGAAAGGATAAAAGATTATACCTTTGACGCGTGCTTCGCTCAACTATGAGCTCTTACTTGAAACCCGAAAATATGAGGTATCCAACGGGATCGTACCCTCGAACCCGATCCGAGTGTCCTAAGTCTCAAAGGTTAGTCGAGACCCGGACAAATAAAACTATGAGTTTTACAAATCAAGGTTTACTGAAATCAAGAGTTGCCTTTTAATTCCACTCAAGGTTGTGTCTTTCCCAATACCCATGCCTTTGGTATTTATAGGGAAATGCACCCTTGAACTTCATTTTTCAACCAATGTGGGAGAATGAATAATTTTGATGATTAATTTATTTCCAAAATAAATTAATAATTAAATCAATCACAATGCAACAAGTGTCAAGGAGAAAGAGAGAGTTAGGTGAGGACCAAAGGCTTGGGGGGACCATTGCCTTTATCCCCAAGCAATGGTCCCCACTCCACAAAACCGCCTCAAGCAAGGGCTGCTGGGCTGCTGCCAGCTAGCACGCCAGCTAGCAGTGCCAGCTAGTCCAGCCAGCTAGCACCAGCCCAGCCAGCAGCCTCGCATCCCCAGCCAGGCAATGCGTGCTGGCGCTGGGCGATGCTTGGCGCTGGTGCTGCGTGCTAGTGCTGTGCTATGCTAGCATGCTGGCACTGGCCCAACACTCCCACGCAATCTCTCGCACACACACGCTTCTACGCATAGCCATGCCAGCCAAGGTCACGCACTTGCTAGCATCGCATACCCAGCACACTCCTCGCCCACACGCACACACACCACATGCATGCGCACCAACACGCATACGCACCACACGCAATGCTATCCTAACCAGAGTGCCTAAGCACGCAAGGGCCTAGCATGCGTGCTAGGCGATGGTGCGAGGCATGCTATGGCCTGCGATGGTGCTAGGGACGCAATGGCCTGCGATGGTGCCAGGCATGCACGTACACGCACATGCGCTAGTGACCAGCACTGCGATGGTGCTGTGCGTGGTGATAGTATGGTGCGATAGTGCCTGCGCACATGCACACACACATGGGTGCTGTGTTTGGTGCGATAGGGTAGCGATGGTGCCTAGGCATCATGCAAGGGCTGCGATAGCGCCTTGGCATGTTGCTAGGGCTGCGATAGAGCCTAGGCACTCATGCCTCGCCTAAGACACCATGGTGCGCCTAGCACA